GACAACCCAGGCACAGCGACTGCATCTGAGGAGCACCATGCTTGACACTTCCTGATTAACACCAACATTCCGGGCTGCCAGTGGCGTATTCTGCAACAAGACATGCCCTCACACATCTGTGCCCAGAGGAACATCCTGCACTTCCAAAGACCTTCTGATTTTCACAGCACCTAATGAGCTTCTCTGACTCGTGGCCCCATCCCATGCCCAAGTCACCATGTGCTTCATGTTCCCTTTGTACTTACCCACCACAGTGCATTTCTGTGCTGTTAATACAGCCAGGGCTTCCTCTTCATCATCATGGATTGAGCTGCTGAAACAAACCCCTGGGAAGGGAGAGAGAAGTGAAGAGTCCCTGCCTCTCTACCACAAAGGCGCAGAGGCACTGTAGGAAACAGGTTTTCACTGTAGGAAAGGCTTTCACTCTTCTGGAACAGCAGCATCTGGTTGTGATAGATGATTGTATTGATGATCAGAGGGCAGGAGCATCTCAGCTATGGAGACAGGATGGGAGAACTGGGGCTGTTCAGCCTGGAGAAGAGAAGGCTCTGAGGAGACCTTAGAGCCCCTTCCAGTACCTAAGGAGAGCTGGAGAGGGACTTTTCACAAGGGAGTGGAGTGATAGGACAAGGGGGAATGTCTTTAAGCTGAACAAAGATAGATTTAGATTAAATATTAGAAAGAAATCCTTCCATGTGAGGGTGGTGAGGCCCTGGTACAGGTTGCCCAGAGAAGCTGTGGCTGCCCCATCCCTCAAAATGTTCAAGGTCAGGTAGGATGGGACTCTGAGCAACCTGGTATAGTGGAAGGTGTCCCTGTCCATGGCAGAGGGTTGAAACTAGATGATTTTTAAGATCCCTTCCAACCCAAACCATTCATTGATTGTATGATTCCCTGTGTTGGTTCTTTTCCAGAGTTCTCCCTCATCCTGTGTTGAGAGATCAAATGTGTGACTGGGATGTTCCCCAGTGTCAGCACCCAGCTTTGGCTGATTATTGATGCCGCGTTTGGGTCCCTCTCAGTGGCACAGAGCAGCTGGCAGAGCTGGTCCTCTCTGTGCCCCTGTCCCTGCCTCTGCCCACAGCTGGCCCTGGGGCCATATCCCTGTGAGTACCCAGGAATATCCTGAATGATGTTCTCGGCCACCAGGCTGCAGTGTCCTGGATGCAGTGTTCTCCCATCCCACAGGGCTGTGGCAGGGGCAGTGCTCTGGAGCACCTGGGACATGAGGTGCTGGCAGGGATCAGCTACCAGATGTCCACACCAAGGCAGCTGGGAAAACAGTGCTATTTTTAGGGTGCTTGGTGCTTTTGGATCTCTGAGTAACATTCTTGTCACCCCAAGGCACAGCTCTGGGCATGCTGAGGGTCCTCCCGCTGGTGACTTGGGGATCAGCACGGGATGCATAGCTGTGGCTGGAGATGGCATCCTGGTGCCCCAGGCCATCCCCTGCCACTGCCATCTGCCAACACCCCACCACCTCCTCCCCCCACATCTCTGCCCGCCGGTACCGTGGGCAGCCGTGCTGGAAGGTGAGGTGACTGTGAGATGCCGTGGGAAAGAAACCCCTCTCCTCCCTGCCTGCCAGCACCACAGGGCTCACATTCCCAACCAAACCCTTCCAGCCGTGTCCCTGGCACAAGCCGGGCACCGGAGAGGCGGCGGGGCCGAGCTGGGGCTGTGCCGGGTGCGGGGCCCGTGCGCTGCTGCCCGCTCCGGGGTGTGCGGGAGCCCGGGATGCGTTCACGTGGCGCTGCCCGTGCGGCGTGGGAGGTGGGCCACGGCGCCCAGGGAGGGGGTGCCGAGCTACCTGCGCCAGCACCCCCTCCGCCGAGGGAGAACGCGCTTTTCAGGCAGCTGCCTGGCTCCTCCCGAGCCGGCAGCGCGGGAGTGCGTTGCCAAGGCAATGGGGACCATCTTACTCATCCTCCTCGCTATTGTTCTCCTGCCAGCCCTGAGGTGCCCGGGCGGGGAGAGGAGGAGGAGAAGGCAGCCAGCCCGGGATGAAGGCTGCCTGCGGGGAGGGGAAGATGCTCCCCATGATCCCCTCCCCGCCCCCCCCACGAACACCAGGCAGCTCTGGTGGGACGGGGACACGCTGGTGGCAAGATGCCGATGGGGATGGGGAGAGACGCTGCTGGTGGAGCTTAGAGGCAGGTGGAAGCAAATAGCAGCAGGATGTGACCCCGCAGGCTCCTGCCTGCGGTAAAGTCCCAGCCAAAGGCAGAGGGGCCTTTTTCCTCTCCTCTGCCAGGACTTGCCCCAGTCCATGACGTCCCTTGGACCCGAAAGGGGATGTGCTGGGGACCGAGTCTGATCCCAGAGAGGGCACCATAAGATGTAACCCCACACCTGTGCCTCAAAGGGAGTTAGTTCCCCCACCGCAGCAGGCATGCAATGGGGTCCAGTCAATGCTGCAGGACTAGGAGCAGCACGCAGGAGCAAGTGTGGGGACAAACACCTTGAGGAGGGGACACATTGATGGGTGGGTGCAGGGATACACCCCTACTCCAGCCTCTCCAGCCATCCATTGGAGTGCCCCTTGGTGACATCGGGGTGCCTTACTCTGCCCCAGAGAGGGAGGGGGGCAAGGATTTTTATTTCATTTCCATATCCTGCCTCCCTATTTTTAGCCTTCGGGGTTTTGTTCCAGGCTGGCTGTTTACTGAAAGAAGAATTTCCAACCTCCCTTGTCTCCAAGCAACCAGGTGTGCCAGCTCCCATGGAACCAGCCTTACCCTATAGATCTATAGGGCTGGGGGACCGGTGCTAACTTTATCTCCAAGATGGAGAACCCTGTCTAACCTTAGCACCCACCCCTCTGGACCCTATAGATCTATACCTCCTGTCTCTGTGCTGACATCTCTGGGTAAGGGAGGGGACCCAGGTCCCCTAGGGTGATGAGGGGCGGTGGGAAGTCTGGGGGGTATGCTGGAGGTTTTTGGGGGGGATCCAGGGATGCAGGTGAGGCGAGCAGGCCGCCTTCCCCCCAGCAGCGCGAGCGGGAGTGCGTGGGAAGGAGTTAGACAAAGCCTGAGCCCGGGAGCAGAGGCAAGCGCTGCCGGGAGCTAGACGGGGCCGTTCTTCCCTCCCCGTCCTCCCCCACCCTCGGGCGAGGGGTACTCGGGAACCCATCTCCATCCCGCCACGCTGGCACGTTGTCCCGGTCCTTCGGGCTGACTGGGGTGCAGCCCCGTCCCCGGTAATGCCCGGGAGGGAAGCGGCCGTCTCCATCACCAGGTAGGAAGGGGACTGGGCTCTCTGGTGCCGCCACCCCCACCCAAGGGACCTACGCTAAGGTTTGGGATCCCCTGACTCTACCGGTCCCGGCTGAGCGTCCTGCTGTGCCCGAGCGCATCGGGGAGTGCCGGGATGCTCGCTCCTGAGGCACGCGGGGTGGTGATGCTCCGGCTACCGGGGGGCTGTGGGACCATGGGGAGCTCTCAGGGCAGCCCGTTGTGGTGACAAACAATGACACCGGGGGACATGCGGTGCGCCGGGACCCCCACTCCCCGCGCAGCAGCCGGCTCTCCCTCGCCTCCCCACTGCTGCTAGGGGTGCCGGGGCGGGCGGCAGCCGGGGGGAGCGGCCCGGGGCACGGTACCGCCCCCGCCGCCGCCGCCCCACGCATGCTCGCCGCCGCTGCCGCCGCCGCGCCGAGCCGAGCCGTGCGGGACGGGACTGGACGGGACGGGACAGGACGGGACCGGGCGGGAGGATCCGCCGCAGGTACCGGCGGCCCCGGGGCGCACGTGGCGGGACCGGCCCGGCCGCCGCCGTCGCCCGCCCCGTACCGGCACCCCCGGGGGGGTTGGGGGGGTGGGCTGCAGCCCTGGGACGGGCGGAGGAGGCGGGTCGGCTTTCCCAGGTTCCGCGGGAGCGGCTTTGTCCGGGGCTCGGCGGGGAAAGCGGGGCCGGGCCGTGCACACGCGTGTCCGTGCGTGCGGGTGTGCCCGTGGCCATGTGCTGGCGTGTGCGTGCCCGTGCGTGTGCACACGCGTGTGCCGGGGCTCGCAGCTCCTTCGCGGAGCATCAGGACCGGGCACGGCGCCACAGCCCCGCGGGATCGCGATGCTGTCGGGGCAGGTCGGGGTGCGGGGCGGAGCGGCCCTCCGGGGATCGGGGTGCTGCGTGGGAACCTACAGACGGGGCGGGGATCATCGCCGCCGGGCTCAGCACTGCTGGGGGACGTCGGTGACCGCCTGGTCCCCGCTCCTGTCGCCTCCCTTGCGGGGAAACTCGCTCGCTGTGTCCGTTCGGCTCTGCCCTTTTCGGGACCCACAAGTGGCCGTGTCTGGAGGCGTGGAGTGCCCCACACCTGCCGGACCCATGTGCTCCCGGCTCTGCAGGGACTCCCTGGCACTGCCAGAACTGGGGGGCTCCCGGAATATTTGGGGCTTCCTGCCCTTCTTCTCTGCCCCACAGGGCTGGGAAGGGTTTGGGGACAGCTGGGTGACACTGGAACGTGTTTCCCTCATGTGGAGAGGGAAGGGCTTGGGCTGCCCCGTATTCCTGCCCTTTTCTGCAGCCTCCCTTGGACCCCAGGCCCAGCTTGCTCTCACCCCTCACTGCACCCAGCTTCCCACTGACAGGAGGGGTCTGCCAAGCCCCCGGTTCTCAGCCTGGTGCCCAGGACGATTTTCCATCTAACACTCTCTTTGCAGGGGTGCCTGCACTGTGTTCCCCGCTCCACCAGCCACAGCAGCGCCTGGATCCTGCTCCCGGTCCTGCTGCTCTGGGAGAAGGCTGACTTTTACGGTAGGCAGCTGACACTGTTCCTCCCTTCCCATGTGCCTGGGCACCGTGTGCCACCACACGGGCTGTGCCAGGCACAGAGAGTGCTCCAGGTGGCCACCCAACCTGTTGTCATGGGTGGCACAGAGAAAAACAGTCGGCAGCTGAGGTGTACTGGGGGTCCATGTGCTGCTTGCTCCTCACTGCGTCATCCTCTCTCTTGCAGACCCGTGGCGGGACTAGCATGGGAGAAGCCTTCCCTGGGCATGGGCAGCGCTAAGGAGCCCGAGGGGCTGCAGGTGCTGAGCCTCCAGGCCAGGGCTGAGGACGCCTGTGAGCCCAGTGCCAGCTCCCCTGGCTGCCCAGCGGCAGGCGAGTGCCTGCCCGGCTCCGGCTGTGCTGCGGGAGCCCGTTCCATGAGGACCTGCTGTGTGCCTGAGGCAGAGTCTCAGGGCACCAAGGCCAGCTCAGTGACAGAGAAGAAGGTGCCATCACCAGCAGGACCAGCTCCTGGCACACTTCTCCAGGACACCAGCACAGAGCAGAGTGTGGCAGTAGCAACAGGGAGCTGCGAAGAACCAAGTGGTGCTGCCCCTGCCTGTGGTCCCACAGGGATGGGGGTTCCCAACACCCAGAAGGAGGATGCAGCCCCCACTTCCCCTGTGCCTGATCCCTGCCTACAGGCAACCAGCAAGGACCTGGAGAACACACCAGCTCTTGCCAAACATGTGGCATTCGTGGAGCCCACTGCAAGCATCGGGACAACTGAGCTTCCAAGCCAGGAGCAGCCCCAGGACAACAAAGGCACATCCCTGGGTGCTGCTCCTCAGACAAAGAGCAGTGAGGCTCCCAAGAACCCCCAGGGAGGCACAGCTGATCCCCCCAGCAGCAGCAATGCGGGTACTGGGGGCCGAAGTGAGGCAGGACCAAGCTCCACTGCTGTGGGCCAGGGCAAAGCCAAGGGGAGCTCAGCCCGGGATGTGGGTGCTGGGAGCAGCCAGCAGCCCCAAACAGCCAAGCAGCTCTGTGAATCCTACTCCTTTGAAGTGAGCCCACTCCAGGACGCTGGGACACAAGACACGGGGACACAAGTGGACAGCCGTGTGTCCCTGGTGTCAGTGGCCTTAAGCCCCATGAGCCCACCGTGTGGGGCTGCTGCCTTCACCTTCCCCAAGAGAGAGACAGCCCCTGCAGCCCCACGCCTCGAGCCCTCCAAGAAGGACGCGGAGATGCAGGTGTCCATGCCTGTGGAGACTCGCTCAGTGGCCACTGGGCCGATGACACCAGTGGCCAAGTCCCCGCAGACCTCGTATCCTGAGGTGCAGGTGAAGGGGACGGTGCCGGAGGTGGTGGAGGAGGAGCCTCCGGAGCCCATCCGGGAGGTGAGCTGGGATGAGAAGGGGATGACGTGGGAGGTGTATGGGGCCTCCATGGAGGTGGAGGTCCTGGGCATGGCCATCCAAAAGCACCTGGAGAAGCAGATTGAGGAACACGGGCGGCAGGTGGTGGTGACCCCGCAGACCACCCGCACTGGCTCCCTCAAGGGAGGGCCCCGCAAAGGCGAGGCCAAGAGGCAGCCCAGCGTCTTTCGGGCTCTGCTGCAGAACGTCCGGCGGCCCCGGTGCTGCTCCCGTGCTGGCCCTGCCATGGAGTGAGTTGTTGCCTGTGCTGGCAGGGTGGGGGTGCCTCGGGGCTTCTCAGAGAAAGTGGGGATGGGTCCCTGCCCTGGCGTCCTGAGACACCCGGTGCCAGTGTGCAGGGCTGTGGTGGTGATGGAGCACTGCACACTGGGACAAGGTATCTCCTTTGCTGGGGTCCTCCCTGTCAGCCTGGGGTTCCCCCGTGAGTGTAGCCCCATGGAGGTGCCCTGGGACATGAGACTGGTCCTGTCTCTGTGCTTGGTGGCTTTTTTCAGCAAGGGGAAGCACATAGCTCCTTCCAGATGGAGGCAGCTGCTCCTGTGCGTCTCCTGCCCGTGGCACAGGTCTGAAGATGGCTCAGGGTGGGTGTTGCTGGCTGCCCTGAACTCTGGCACCCCAAGAAGCAACATCACTTCCCGTGCTGGAGAGACACTGGTGCATCACCCTGCCTTTGCTTTGCCTGTCCAGGGCTTGGCCACACTCCAACAAGCCAGTGGCTGTGCATGCGTGGGTCCCCACAGCTGCCCACAGCAGGCACCAATCCCCCAACTGCCCTGTCCTCTCTGCCCATTGTGGGTGCCCTGGATCTGGGAAGATGTGGCCACACAGGACACCACGACAGATCTCAAAGGAGAGAAAGGGGCCAACCACGTGTGTGATGGAGAGTTGCTCATCCCTGGCTGGAGGTGCTTGTGGAATCTTGTCCTCATAGCCCCCAGTTCGACCTGCCTGGAGGCAGCACATCCTCGCCACAGATGGTGATGGGCATGTAGCCTGCCCTGCTTCCAGGCCTGTCCAGATGCTCCAGTGGTGCTGGAAAGGCCCCTGTGCTGGGGACATGGGCACATGTCCTGCTGGCTTCTTCTCTCCAATGGCAGCTGGGGACGTGACAACTGCAAAACGCTGCCACTTTTTACAGCTGGGGTTTTACAGGGTGGGGGGAAGGGGAGCTTTTATTGAACTGTGTTTGCATTTTTGGAGCTTTTTAAGAGACATTTTCAGCCATGTCTGTCCTGCCTGGAGCCACTTCCTCCCCATGGTGGCCTGTGGGGCTGAGACCATTTTTTCAAACACTGTTCCTATGTTGCCTGTGCTCTGCTAGGCTGAAGAGCATTGGGAGTGAAGGGTCATTCTGCAGGGGGTTGAATATCCCTGTGGTCAGGCCCACATCCGTGTGGCTGGCAGCACCTCAATGTCCTGCCAAGATGTGGATCCTGGTCCCCCCATACAGAGGACCATCCCCACAGTGCCACAGCAAGGGGGGCCCAGGCCTGTGTTCAGCATCTGATGGGCAGGAGGCTGCAAACAAGGGGTGCTTGGAGAGCTGCACCATCCCCTCTGGACAGAAGTACAGGAGGGCTCAAGGTGCCAGAGTCACCGCTGCAGCCGTTTTCCCTCATTAAGGGTGAAGTCTTGCCCACCTAAACCCACACTGTACATCCTGGGCTTGTTTTGTCCCTGTGGGGCTGCAAAGGGCTTGCTGAAGTGCCAGCTGGCAGCCAGGGCTGTGGCAAGTGCCCACTCTGTGCCGTGGCACTCGCTGGGACCTGGCTGTGCTCAGTGCCTTGGGCTGTGGGACCGGTGCCACGGCCATGCCAGAAAGACCAGGAGCCGTGGGGCATCCCCTTGCCACCCTGCCCCAGGCTGTGCTCACCTCCAGCCCCGCACTGCCAAGCTGTGGCACACCAGCGCTGCAGCTTCATCACCTTATTTTCTTCTTTTTTTCCTTTTCATTTCTTTTGGGGGTGGGGTGGGGGGAGGAAGGGGCGGGAGGATCAGTCTGTCAATGTGGATGTTGGGTAATAAAACCTTGCACAAACCTCTGCACGGGGCTGCCTGCACCTCCCTCCCCCGGGACCGAGAGGGTCCTGGGGACAAGAAGCCAGACTGAGCCCCACAGTGGCACCTCCCCTCTGGTACCAGCTGATCCAAAACCAGCACTTCATGCTGGGAGAGATGACTCCAAGCTGACTGAGCCCCAGATGGGCTGATAGCAACAGGACACCGTGACCCCCGTGGAACAGTTTTATTGCCAGACACTGAACATATCAACACCGAAGCAGCTGCCCGAGTCCTGCTCTGGCCCCAGTGCACCCCGTGAGCCCACTCACAAGTCCGTGGTGGTGAAGGTGGTGTTGAGGTACGCTGTTTTGGTGGGCTCCTTCAGGTTCAGGGCAGCCACCAGCACCTCCTTGTCAGTGGGGTCTGTTGGCCGCATTTTGATCTGCTGCAGGAGGAGAGCGTGGTCAGAAGGGATGGGGACAGACATGTAAGGACAGGGACACCCATCCTTCCCTGGAGCTGAGGGCTGTTGAGGGGTGCAGAGTAAAGGACACAAGGGGTCCATAAGGCCCTGGGGACCACAGCAGAGAGAAGAGGATGCAGGGTGCTCTGTCAGGACTCCCAGCTGCCGAGCACTGGCAGCTCTTGGCACACTTACCTCGACCTCAAAGTTGTCATCTGCTGGTGCATTTACTGTATTTTCATCCAGGGAATTCATGCTGTGGAGAATGGAGGGTGGGAGGTAAAAAAAGACCCAGGCACTGGAGAAGTGAGGTGTGAGGTGACAGCCTGTGGCCTTTGGGACCTGCCCACAGAGCTCACCTGGTCACAGAGATGGAGTCCTCGTGGAAGCCCAGATCGTGGGAGGGATCGAGCGGGTGGTTCAGCATGGGGTTGGCCCTGGTCAGGGATGGGTGGCAAGTAAGAGCTGCTCCTTGGGGCGCTGCAGCCCCTGGATGTGGGGGCAAGCCTGGTTTCTCCCCACCTGCTGCAGGGAGCTCCCCACTCACCCCTCAGCGTTGTACTGGTTGGTCCCAGGGATGCCAGCTCCGTGCTGTGCTGTGACAGGGTTGAATGTTGTGGCCACCTTCAGAGCCTTCATGGCACTCAGCTTCCTCTTGTAGCTGCAAAGCCCAGGGATGGGGTGGGTGAGAGGGGCAGGGAGGAGCTGGGCTGTGGGATGGGGTGGGCAGAAGCGGGTTGGAGGATAGGGATGGGTCTGAGGGTGCTGGTGAGGATGGGGGTGGTGGGAGATGATAGGAGGGGGTGCAGGCTGTGAGGTACCTCCTGGTGGTGAGTACCAAAACCAGGGTCATGACGAGTATGAAGATGAGCAGGAATGCTGCCAATCCTGCGATAATGCCAATCAGCTCTATCTCCTTGGTGGGCTTTGTCACCTCCCCGGGGCCCTGGCACAGATCACGGGTGAGGGCACTGTTCCAGCCAGTGGAACTCCCCAGCCAGCCCCAAAGGAGTTGTTGCCCTCTCCCTGTGCCCCTTGCCTGGCCCCACTCACAATGACAGCCAGGCCCAGTTTCACCAGCTCAGCCAAGCCCAGCGGATCGGACTGTATGAGTCTGCCAAGGAAAGCGGAGGTGTGAGCAGCTGGGCTGGTTCCAGCATGTGGCAGTGCCTGTGCACAGCCCCAGCACTCACGTGCTCAGGTCATTGATGTCCAGGGCAGTGCCATTGCTGTACACAAAGTAGGCCTCCATCACTGACTTGGCATCCATGCTGCAGAATCAGAGAGATGGGGGGAGTGTGGTGCTGGGGTGCAGGGCATGGTGCCCTGCTCCAGGGTGACACTCCTGATGCCATCACCATGTCCCCTTCTCCACCACCACTCACTGGGTGTCACGGGTGTCCTCCATGCTTTGGATGGCCACCACGTAGACTGCTGCCTTGGTCACGGTGGTCAGGGCCCTAGGAACAAGAGAGAGGGGGGAAGCTGGGCTGGACATCCTGCTGTTCTCCTCACAGGCACAGAAAGCAGATGGACCTCCTGAAGCCTCCTCCTCTGGTTAGGACTGGCCTGGCCCACCCCATTCATAGTCCATGAAGCTGAGAGACACAGCTGATAAGTCCAGCTGTTCCCCCCCAGCCCAGCACCCCTTACAATTTAATATTTTCGGAGTTACTCTGGACTTCTTCCACCGTTGACAGGAACTGGAGCCGAACACGGTAGCTCTGATCCACTGTGAAGATCTGTGTGTGGGAAGCAGGGCTGAGTGGAGCTGGGCCAGGCTCGTGGCATCCTGGGACATGGGTTGGGGGTGACACTCACATTCAGCACAGTCTGTACTCTGTGCACTGGTTCCTCACCATCCTTAGCCTCCACTGTCACCTTGTACTGCCCCTTCAGCGATGCATCAAGGTTGCTGGACACCCTGTGAGAACAGGGACATCAGCGATCCCACTGCGCTGCACAGGATGTCCTCTGCCATCCCTCAAGCTCCATCCTACCTGCATGCCCAGGCAGGACTCCAGAAAGGCTTTGTCCCCTTTGCAGCCCATGCTGGCCCTGCAGCAGGCAGGAGCTGAGCTGCATCCCCCCACCCCAGCCCAGCCCCATGGCCTCACAGGATCCTCCCGATGTAGGCGCCCTTGTCGAACGTTGTCGATATCATGAAGAGGTTCCCAAAGGGCTGAGTGACCCCGGTGTCCTCCACAAGCACCACACTGATGATGGAGAAGGTGATGTTTCCCCCCATCCCTGAGTCAACATCTGTGGCCTGCAGGGACAGAGTATTGCAGGAGCATGGGAGGGAATGGCCCCTGCCTGCCCACAGCGGGGACAAGTGAACAAGGCTCCACAGACTGACAGATACAGGCAGGCAGTTCCTCACCTTCACAGTAGCCACTTGCAGGCCCGTTACAGAGATTTCGGGGACAACCACTGCCAGGAACAGACAGATGGATGGTTCAGTCATGCTGGTGAGCAGCCAGACTTTCTGCAGACCCCACACCCACACAGCCCCAGGGTTCCAAGCACCCACTGCTGCTCTTGGCCCCACAGCCTTCATGGAAAGCACTGAGTAACCCCAGCCTGGGCCCCGCACTGCTCAGCCCTGCCCCGGACTTGGGGAAGATCCTCGCTGCTGGTGAATGTGGCAGGGCATGTGTGGGTGCAGCGAGGAGCCCATGTGATGTGCCAACCCCAACTGCTCACCAAAAGTCTCTGAGATGGCCCCGAAGACTGGCATGTTATCATTCACATCAATAATGATGATCCT